GGGTCTATTATGCCAGTCATTCTCAAAGTGTGGTCACTGGCCCAGTAGCTTCAGGACCCTCTGGGAGCTTGTTAGAAATGCAAATTTTTTGACCCCAGCCCACATCCACTAAATCAGACACTCTGGGGTCGGGCCCAGGAATCCATTTTAACAATCCTTCTAGGTAACTCTGATGCACACTAAAGTTTGAAAACCACTGCTTTGTATTATTATTCCTACTTAAGTTTATGTTTGAAATTCAAAGAAATAAAAAGTGCAAAAGAAAAAAATTAGTTTATGAATATAACAAGCCAAATGTACACATACCTAGGAGAAGCTGGTTTAGAGGCTAAGACAAGGTTGTATAATTGTCTTAATAGTTAGCAGATGAGTTGGTAAGGTACCGTCAGAGAGCCAGCTGCTAATGATAAACTAAATTACAAATTTTGCTCTTCTCTTGAAACAATGGCTCTTTATTAAAATCACCTAGAGAACTTTTAAACACACATCCAGACCTACCCCCAGGAGATTCTGGATTTAATTGGTTGGATCAGAGCTAGGGTTTTGGCTCTCTTTTTTAAAAGTTTCTAAGATGATAATAATGTGCAGCTAGCATTGATAACAAGTATCCTAACTTTATGTGCATAAGAATTATCTCAAGAGCTTGTTAAAAGCTTCCTGTCTCCTCCAGAGATTCAGATTCAATAGCTTGGGGTAGGGTCCATGAATTTACATTTTTAATAAGCTCACACGTGATATAGATGCTGCTGGCTTGCACACTTTGAGTAACATCTTAAAGTAAGAGATAGTCTGGTCAAAGAAAACGATAAGATAAGTAACAGTATAGGGGAGAAAAAGTATGTCTCTTCCCATCTTAGGTTTATGGATGAGGACCCTATAAATAACGAAAGACAGATTAACAAAAAAAAAAAAAAGCATACAATTTTATTTAATACGAACTTTACATAACATGGAAACCTTCAGAAATGAAGACCCGCCCCCCCCACCCCCACCCCAAGAAACAGGGAAACCTGTGTATTTTTATGCTTAGGTTTTATTACAAATGAACTGTCATGCAAAAGTATGATTGGACAGAGAGGTTATGATCTAATGCTAATAAACTGGGGGAAATGTAGCAAAGCCTTTCTGTTCAGATTATTCCTCTCTGCATCCCTGTGTCTTTAGAGATAAGGATGTTCCTTTCCTCCCAGTACAGGGAAGGTACCTCTCCCTTGATGAACTGACCTGCCTTGGGAGAGGGGTGAAAGAAGGTTAGAGAATGACGTTCCTGCTTCTACTGTGTTCTCTATGTCAAAAATTTTGGATTTTGGAGTATTTTGGCTTTTGAATTTTTCAGATTAGGAATGCTCAACCTGTATAACAATATCGTGATAGTAAAGTTAAATTAAATTCTTACATTAAAAATTTTTTAATTTACAATTTAAAAATTATTTTAAATGTAAGCATTAAAAATTAAAATTTCATCACCAAGGTATTAAGCCCAGTACCCATTAATGATAACAAACCCCCATGATACAAGGTTACCTATATAACAAACCTGTACATGTACCCCTGAACTCAAAATAAAAGATTAAAAAATAAAATTATTTCTCTCTGTTTTAGATTAGTAATAAAACAATATAATCGAAACCTAATCAGCAGAGAATAAGTCTTTAATAGTTACTAAAATTGGGGAGGCATACTGGAACTATTCCAAAAATTAAAAAGGAGACACTCCTCCCCAACTCATTCTATGAGGTCCGCATCATCCTGATACCAAAACCTGGCAGAGATATGACAAAAAAAGAAAACTTCAGACCAATATCTTCGATGAACATCAATGCAATAATCCTCAACAAAATACTGGCAAAGTGAATCCAGTAGCACATCAAAAAGCTTATCCACCATGATCAAGTAGGCTTCATCCCCAGATGCAAGGCTGATTCAACATACACGAATCAATAAATGTGATTCATTACATAAACAGAACTGAAGACAAAAACCACACGATTATCTCAACAGATGCAGAAGAGGCTTCCGATAAAATTCAACATCCGTTCATGTTAAAAACTCTCAATAAACTAGGTGTTGAAAGAATACCTCAAAATAAGAGCCATATATGACAAACTTACAGCCAATATCACACTGAAAGGGCAAAAGCTGGAAGCATTCACCTTGAAAACTGGCACAGAACAAGGATGCCCTCTCTCACCACTCCTATTCAATACAATATTGGAAGTTCTGGCCAGAGCAATCAGGCAAGGAAAAAAAAATAAGGGTACTCAGATAGGAGGAGAGGAAGTCAAACTATCCCTGTTTGGAGATGATATGATCCCATTATATATCTAGAAAACCCTGTCATCTCAGCCCAAAAGCTTCTTAAGTTGATAATCAACTTCAGCCGAGTCTCAGGATACAAAATCAATGTGCAAAAATCACTAGCATTCCTATACACCAACAACAGACAAGCAGAGAGCCAAATCACGAATGAACTCCCATTCACAACTGTCACAAAAAGAGTAAAGTACCTAGCCAAAATACTCCAAAATCCAAAACTTTCTGAGCACCAACATGATGCCACCAGTAGAAAATTCCAACACTTGACCTCATGTGACAGGCCACAACCAAAACATCTGCAAAACTTTGTTTCATGCACAAAATTATAAGAAATATATGTATAATTGCCTTTATGCTATGTATAAGAAATATATATATAATTACCTTTATGCTATGTGTATAACATATATATGAAACATAAATGAATTTTGTGTTTAGATTTGGGTCTCATTCTCAATATATCTTCTTATGAATATGCAAATATTTCAAAATCTGAAGAAATCCAAAATTTGCTTCTGGCCCCCATGCATTTCAGGTAAAGGATACTCAATCTGTATTCCTTGAGATGTGTTTTCAGGGATAAGTTGCATGTTGCAGATTTTATTTTTGTTGGTTCGTGTGGACTGTAAAGGAAATCAGTTGAATATGGGATGATGATATACTGTTATCTAAACATTTCATTTTCTCCTCTTAGGATCATGCATCTGTAAGTTCTTAGATAAATATTTCTGTTTAATTTTAGTAAGACATTTCTTTCTGGCTGATTTGGTTCTTCCAGTGTTTTAAAACCATACTTTAAATTCGGTAGTCCTCCCTTTTTCACAGTTTCTTTTTCTGTGAGTTCAGTTACCCTCTGTCAACTGCAGTCCGAAATGGAATTTCCAGACATAGAGATCACACTCACGTAACTTCTACTATAGTATATTTTTATAATTGTTCTATTGTATTATTAGACATTGTTAATCTCTTACTTTCCCTAATTTATAAATTAAACTTCAACATAGGTGTGTATATATAGACAAAAACATAGGATGCATAGGGTTTAGTACTATCCATAGTGTCAGGCTTCCACTGGGGATCCTGGGACTTATCCCCATGGTTAAGGAAGGAGTGTTATATGAATGTATGATTTTAAAATAGGAATTAAACTAAGATCTCTGTTTCTTCTACACCATGAGGATAGACTAGATTTAGAAAGAGAGATATGCCATAAGCCTATATGTTAATAAATCAAGACTCGTTTGTCATTACCAACTACTTTTAATCTTTATGTAAAATAGTATTCATGTAGTGTTTCATAATTCTTTTTTGTCAAACACAAATGAATTAATTTCATTTTATCGCCCAAAGCAGGTTATTAGTATCTTTGAAGTTCCCAGTCTTACAGTTATTTTCAAAAGATGACTTCAAATATTATATGTATTCTTTTTTTAATTGATTCTTCTTAATTTTTGAAAAGGAAGTTTCTAGTATTTTCATACTGCTGATGAAGCAAAGGTTATGGTTTGTTCATTATCTTCTCCCTGATAACTTTATTATTAGGCCTTTACTGAAGCCATTAAAGCAACAGCTAGTGGCTCTAAAGCTGGAGGGTGAGGAGAGTTGTAAAAGAGTGTCAGCAAGGGGTCAAAGAGCCTTTCAGTATGTTTTTGTTATGTATGAACTTTTATTAGGAATTTTAAATTCTTGTTTTGTAATAGTATCAATTAGTAAATCTTTATATTTTTCCATTCCCCCAGATTTGTTGTCAAAGTGAGCCTGTGGCTAATAATGAGTATTTCTGGAAAAAAAAAATGTAAAACAAACAAACAAATTATATCTATCTATCTATCTATCTATCTATCTATCTATCTATCTATCTCCAGCCAAGAGCAACAACAACAACAAAATCAAGACTATGATTATACGCTGTAAGGCTGGAGAAATGGAAAGAGAATATGTATATAAGTTTAGTCAAATTAATTATCCTAGCAAATAACATATGTTGCATCTGAAAAATGAAACAAGTGCATATAATACCATGTATTAAAAAGTTTGCTTTTTTTCTTATGTCTTACTTATACACACACACACAAGAATCTCTTTTGTCCTATTTAATGCTTATTGATATCTCTAAATAACTTTCTCAAATAGATAGATAGGTTCTAGGAGACGTTATACTTACTGCAGTCCGTTAAAAAAAAAGAAAAGAAAAGAGATAAATCCAATTTCGTGTAATTTCATGATTTAGGATGTGTGTCAGAGCTATTTTAATTACATTGTGTGTTGAGTTTCAATTTTTTTGTGACATTCTTAAAATATTGTAATAAGATTTTTTTTAGATGTGGAGACTATATATTAAGAATGAATAATAAGATGTCTTTGTTTTTTCTACAGAATATTTGTGTTTACCTATGAAGTATTATTACTGAAAAGGAATAGTAAACATTGAAATGATGTGGGTTTTTTATAGTTCTTGAGATATTTCATACGGTGTTTTATCATGATGTTCTACTGTGGACTTTAACAATTATATCTGTATTTTCCATTCAGTACACTGTAATTTTAGTAAGAAAAATATTTTAATAATTCCAGAACTGACATTCTTTTAAAAATGATCTTAATATGTTGTCATGTGCCTGATTTAAAACTTCCTAAAAATTTTTTTCAATAAGTCCATTTTTTTCTTGTTTTTTCTCCCCCAGTGGTCATATGCTTTAGAAAAACCCAACACTGGCAGCATATTTAATATTGCGTGGTCTATTGATGGCACTCAGATTGCTGGAGCCTGTGGAAATGGACATGTTGTTTTTGCACATGTGGTGGAACAACATTGGGAGTGGAAAAATTTTCAAGTAACATTAACTAAAAGAAGGGCCATGCAGGTATGATTATGTTCCAAGGTTGATTAAACCTGCTTCTTTTCATATTAGTTAACTGTACAGAATATGGAATTATTTTCATTAATTATATTTAGTCAAGCTTATAAAAATTCAGTCACATTAGAAATATTTTAACTATGCCATTAGTCACTTTCTCTGACATAAAAACCTTTCACAGATATAGAACCTGAATGCCAAAGCTACTCGGTTATGCATTTAGTACAAATACGGTGAAATTGGAAACATTGAGGAAATGTTGAGGAAAAAGCTGTAACAAATAGGAGCATGTTGGATTTGACTCCTGGAGCTGAATCCAAGGCAGGCCTAATCTGCCAGTTACTGACAGGGTTAATTGTTTTACTTATTTGTAATTGGATGAACTTATTTAACCTGATTTTTTTTTTTTTTTAATTTATTTTAAGAATTACCTAAGGAGAGTCAAAATGGGAAAATGGTATAGGAAGTTCTTATTAGGAATTAAGAAGTATAGGGGAAGAAAAATACCTCTACCCATCCTAGGCTCATGACTGAGGTCCCTATAACAAAAGGCATATTAACAAGAAAAAGGCATATAAACTGATTTAATGTAAGTTTTACATGACACCAGAGCCTTCCTGAGGAAATGTAGATCTGAAGAAACAGTTAAGCCTGTGTGCTTTTACGCTACGTTTGATGAAGAGTAGACAGTTGTGGCGATACGCAGTAGGCCAAAAAACGTATGATCTAGTGGTAATAAGCTAGGGAAAATTTAGCAAGACCTGCATGTTTAGATTCTTCTCTGTGTCCCTGTGTCTTCAGAAATAAGGATATAACTTTCCTCTGGGTATAGGGAGGGTACCTCTCACATGAGAGTCTTATGACCTGCTTCAGGAAAAGGTCAGAAAATCCTTTCTAGGTTTTATGACCTGTGTGAGAGAAGAAGAGTTGGGGAAGGTCAGACTGACCTCCTGCTGCTCTTGTTTTATCAAATTCCTTTAGCTTAAAATATTCAGTATGCCATAGTGCCATAATAGTGTATCCTCAATCCCATCAGAAGAAAATTTTGAAGTGAAATATTTTGTAGATAAATACAAGGAGGTTGGAATGTGGCAATGGGAAGTAGAGAGATGTTTTACAGGTCAAAAGTCATCAGTGGGAGGGCACAAGTATCCTCATGGCTCATCTTTGTCTCTCTTTCAGGGCCTCTAGCCCAGTGCCTTGCCCTTAATATATTAATAATTAGTTGAAGAAAGGTACAAGGAGAAGATCAAAGTGCAATGTGTCAATAGAAATCCTCTGAAAAAGAAGGATTCGACCTTTGTCTTCTTCCTTTTGCCTGTATCAATTGCCTCTATCTTCAGTATTCATAATTCATATTATTACTATAAAAATTTAGAAGCATAGGCAGGTCTATTCAAATATTCTGTTAGCCCACATATCCAGATTTTAAAATTTGGATAATATTGTCACTAGATTACTAATAATTAGGTATATTATACTTTTTCTTTATTCTGCTTATTTATTTTAAAATTATAAAACTTTTTATTTAGATAATTTAAAACACACACAGAGTAGTATATTGAATCCCCATGTGCTCATCACCCGGCCCCAGTAATCACCAATTCATGCTTAAGCCTGCCCGGTCCATGTCCTGTCTACTTTCCTTGTTCCCCAAATTCAGACGTTGTATTTCATTTGTAAATATTTTAGTATATATAACTAAAAGATAAGGACTCTGTTTTAACATAACCACACTACCATTATCATATCATATAAAATAACAATTTCTTAACATTATCAAATATCCACAAAGTGTTTAAATGTCCAATTGTTTCCTACATGCCACAAAACTTTGTTTGAATCAGGATCCAATTTTACATATTGCAATTGGCTAATACATTTTTTGAGTCTCTTTTCGTCTGTAGAGTCCCCTTCTATCTCTATTTCCTGCCCTGCAGTTTGTTTGTTGAAGAACCAAGTTATCTGGTAGAGTTTCTCAGTCTGGACTGGGCTGATTCTATCTCCACGGTGTGATTTGACATGCCCTCCATCTTCTGTGTTTCCTTTAAGAAGGATTTAGGATCCAGATGATGATTTAATATATATTTCTTCTAATTAACCTGAGATCTAAACCATTATAATATTCTGGATATGACATAGAATCCATTGTGAGTTCTAATCAACTAATTGGGGTATAATATTATATTTATAGCTAATATAGTAGTGCTAAAAAGTTCTAGCCTTAATTACAGATATGCCCCAACATAAGACTATATCTAGAAAGAAGAGTTCTTCTTTCATAATAAAAAGAAATTATCCTAGTGATGAGAGGATTTTTATGTGAAATAAGATGAACCATGGAAATGCTTAAATGGCTTATCTAATCTAAATTATCTTTGTGTTTAAAATAATATTTATAAATAATTTTTTAAAGTTTTAAACTAGAACATTATTTTTATTTTTTAAAGAGGTTTTACCTTCTCCATGTTATAAAACATTTGACTGCATTTTTGCTAAGTTAGGCCTATTCACTGTTTCTTTTTAGAATGATTTTATTCACTCATTCAATGGATATCTATTGAGTGATCCCTACTTGCCAGGCATTGGGCTAAACAATGAGGAATACAGTAGTGGACAAGACAGATTTGGTCCTTGGTTTTATGGACCCCCTAAATTATTACCTTGAAATTTTTTTTTCATCAATTCAGCTGTAATTGATTTAAAGTGAAAAATAAAGGAAACAAAGGAAATTTATTGATTCATGTGAAGTGAAGAGATAGACTGACTTGAGAGGCATTATTGGTTCAGAGGCTTAAATAATGCCATCATCTCTTTCTCTTCCTTGACTCTTCTTTTCTCTGCAATTGTCTTAGTTTTCAGAAAGGCTCTATTTTGTGGCCTTGGTAGTTCCAGACTGACATTCTACCAACTTCAAGTTCAGTGGAAAGAGTGCTTTTTTTCCCCTAGTAATTCCAGGAGAAACCTCAGCCTTGGATTTCATATGCTGAGCCTGAGTCAAGTGTATTTACTTAGGAAGAGGCAGGGGAAAATGAGTCAATCCCATCTAGCCAGTCACTGAGAATAGTGGAAGGAATGTTTTCCTAAAGGAAAATCAATGTATATTTATGAGAAAAGATGTCATTTGATTCTGGGCAGACAAAAAATGATAGATAGATATATGCTGTAGTCTATCCTTGAGCGGTTTAGCAGCTATAGTGTATTAGTTACTTATTGTTGCATAATGAATAACCCTAAACATAGTGGCTTAAACAGCAACAATTATTATCTCTCATTTTCTGTGAGTCAGGAATCCAGGCATAGCTTAGCTGGGTCCCCTGTTTCAGTCTCACAAGGCTGCAAACAAGGTGTTGGCCGGGACTTTAGTCTTATCTGAAGGCTCAACTGGGGGAAGATTTGCTTTCAAGCTCACTGACATGATGGTTGGCAAGATTCCGTTCATCAGTGTCATTTACACCTGCGGGCCTCAGTGTTTTCTTGACTATTGACTGGAGGTCTCCTTCAGTTCTTTGTATGTGGCCTCTTCATCGGGAAGCTCACAACTTGGTGGTTTGCTTCAGCAGAGCAAGCAAGAAGGGCCAGAGAGAGTGCAAGCAAGACATAAGTCACAGTTTTTTATAACCCGAGCTCAGAAGTGACGTCTCATCACTTTTGCCATATTCTATTTACTAGAAGCAAGCTATTAGGTCCAAACTACACTAAATAGAGAGATTTGCTCAAGCGTGTGAATACCAGGAGGCAGGGATCATTGGGAGTCACCTTACAAACTTCCTTTATTCATATATATGGATATATATTCAAGCTACTCAATATATATGACTCAGAAATATACTAATTTATCATGCAGCTATTTCATATGTGATTGAAAACAAACCCATCCCCTTTCTAAAAAAAGATAACCTAGACTCTACGGTTATTGCATCCAGCTCCAACTCTCTGGTTTGGAAAACTATACATAAATATGTATTTTAATTCTTCTCCCCTCCCCTCCCTCCCACTCTCCATATTCCCAGTTTACAATGGCTAAAGGAAAAGAGGGTGGCTGCAATGAAAACAATTTGGAAAAGGGGAGAAAGGAAAACAACACACAGTGATTACCCATTTATAGCTAAAATCCAGCTGGTGAGTGTGAAAGGAAAATAAAAATCTTGAGACCCCAAACTCATTATGTCAAAGGGAAAGGGTAAGCTTGAGAACTGAGTCATGCAAAACTGCCTCTCATTTTGTTCCTAAGTAGATAGCTACAAAGATAGAACACATACCTCCCCAGAGGACTTCCCTTGCAATATGCTCACAAGTAAATTCCCTGTAGGCCCCAAGATCTTTACCCTACAACAGAGTTCTGTTGAGTTTCACCCTAACAATGTAAATTAACAGCTTATCTTCACAGGTATGGAAGAAAGACAAGACTAGAAGTCATCCCTCTGCTCACCGGAGACAATGCATATTTCACTGCTTCTTCTACTCTGTGTTTATCTTTTGTAAAAATTCAGATTCACTGCAAGGGGAATACATAGTTGACTATCCCTGTACCTCTTTTCATTTGCAACATGTGGATTCAGTGAGCTCTAATCAAAGCCTCACAAGAATGTGACCATACCCTCCCTCTTCTCTTCTCTTTTCTCTTCTCTTCTCTTCTCTTCTCTCTTTCCCTTTTCCCCTCCTGCCCACTTTTTTTTCTCTTTAAATATTGAAGCTCTCCAAACCCTTTTTTGGAAAAAGCATGGATCACAGATGTTCCTGTGATTTTGTGTTCCTTTTTCCTGGGCACATCCCCAACCTTGGCAAAATAAACCTATAAATTGATTGAGGCTCGCCTCCAGTCATTTTCTTTGGTTTTACCCCAAGAATATCCTGAGAACTTCTTTAGCAACAAAGTAGTTGCTTGGTCAGTTTGTTAACTCCAGTTTGCCTTTCTGGGAAGATCTCCCCGGACATTTGGGAGGATTCCCTTTCTGAGGGCTGTACTTTGTAACAGCCCACTTTTGTTGCAAGGTGGAGTCACA